ATGAATATCAATGATTTTTTGGGACTTCAATATCTCGGGAAGGAAATATTTCTTTAAGCTGAATTTCTCAATGCATTCTACTAACAAATAGACCTATCTATGGACAAAATTTCAATCCGAAATACCATCATTCGATTTGTTGGTATATATCATGAAAGAGGCTAAAGGTCTCCGGAAAAGGCCTATAACTCTGGACAGAAGATCTAAGAGAACTTATCTTTTTGAGATTTTTCATATCTCATTGGAGTCTACCTTATGCACTGAGTATGAATCGAAAAACGATTGATCACTTGAAAACAATTCCTCGTAAATGCATGAAATCCTTTGCAATTTAGTTACTCTCTTCATCATTGAATATACAGTCCCGGTTACTTCTCATTAATGAGAGTATGTTTATAAGTAGCATCATAATTATGAATATTTCTCATAACTAAATTTATTTGTCTGTACTCAATTACTTCATACAATTTGCTGACATTATAAATATTTTAAGAAAATTTTTCTTCTACTTTTGTAAGATTCATTGTACTTACCAAAGCATAACCAACAAAATTCATGCCGACAATTTCTACATGTCATATGATTACAACCACCATCCTTTTCAATATTTACTTTACATTTTGGACAAATTTTTGTATTAACTTTTAACCATACAATTGTATTACTATCATCGAGTAATTTTTTATTCCAATGTAATAATAAAATACATTTAATTGGATCATGCCATGGTTGAGCACATTGAAAACAGAATGATGTTTGACAATGATCACATATAATCAATTGAGCATAATTATAAGCTGATGTAAGAGATGTTGCATTAATAATATAACCACAATTTTTTCCTGGACACCAACGAGCACGAGGATTATTATCAATATAAGAATTTAATATAATTTTTGCATAAATATGTTTGACAAATTCATTATCATCTAAAAATTTTGTAATAGTTTCATCATTGACAAGAATTTCACATTGAAAATCTGGACAAACAATCGTTTGAGCATGACCTTCATTAATTATTTGATTTATTAAATAATCTTTCCAACAATTATTACAAAATGTATGTTTACATTCAAGACTAAACATTTCTTTTTGTTCATCTGAACAACAAATTGAACATATGTTAGTTAATTCATTTATAGAGATTTTTTCACTAAATGGATTAATAATTTTTGCTTGTTGAAAAAATTCATTATGATCAATTTCATAGAATTGTTCTAATAATCGTTGTTTATTCCATTTGAAATAATGTAATAAAAGTTTAATAATAGTTAATGGTAATTGAAGAATATCTTTAACTTCATCAACATAATTCATCATTAATTCAACATATTGTTTTTGAGTTAAAATTGTATAATGAAAATTTGGATTTATTTCATCAGATGGTGTTAATGGTTCATCAATATATGGTTGAATAGTTTCATGTTGAGTATCTTCATCAATTTGATAAAAATTTTCATCAAGTTCATCAAGAGGAGTTGATGGTTCACTTATTTTATTTTCTAATTCATTTTTTTCTGAAGATTTAGGTGAAATAGATGGTAATTCTGTCATATCATAAAAGCATTCATCATCGTCAATTTCGTCTTCACTCATTGTTTGAATTTGTTTTCTTTTTTTTTCAATTGTATGATGTATATTTTAGTTTTTTTACGTTGTTTACGGTAGTTTTCGTACATATACATTCTAACTTGCACAATCATTTATTTATCTTATGTCAGAACGAATAATTTCCTATGACTAATAGATGATTGTTCTGTAGTGTGAAATGAGACATACTTGACGATGCTTGTCAAACTTCTTTATTCCATTAGTCCATGTTATGCTTTTTTTCTATATATGGTATTGAGAGTTGTCAATAGGTGTCTTTAGTTGTTGATGAAGTATACTATCAGAAACTAGTAGTTTGCCATAACAAAAAGTTATGTGATTTATTTCTCTCTATACTTTGAAAATTATGTTTTATATTTTTTCTTATTCAATTCTCAAGGTCTATTGAATTTTTTGAAATTTTATAGGAAGAGAAAGTATAATGTCTGATTGCTGCTAAAACGATTAAAGTTTTTTGGCAGTGTCTTACATACGAAACGAAAAGAGATTACTATTAAAAATCTACTACTTGTAAATAAGATTAAAAAAATTACTTGTTTAGAGTTGTTTATGTTCTATAGGGAAATGTTAAAAAGTATTCACAATTTTTGTTATGATGTTGGTATTCTATGTGTTGTTTAATAAGACTCACTTGATCTCTCTTCATCCTAGAATCCATTGTAGAACTATAAATTTTCTTTAAGTAGTCAAGAAAATATTTTTTTTTTCATTATTTTGTTAGATATTAATCATTTTGTAATACATTTCTTTTCACTTTCTTCAAGAATAAGCATCTAATTTTTTTGAAGTTTAATTACACTTCATCTACGTAGAGTTCGTACATTTCTGTATTGAATTTTTCATTGAAAATAATATTTAGCTATTCAATTTTCTTTTTCTCTTCATAGCAAAAAAAAAGTTACGTAGTATGCGTGCATCATTCATCGAAACAGATGTGTAGCATGAAGAAGAGAAAAAGATTAAGAGGATCGTATCAATTCTTATTGTAGAAAGGAAGTCACGTTCTATGCGCATGTGAACATGATCAACCTATCAAAGAAATCAAAGAAGAAAATGTACGTACGCCCTTGAAGAAAATGGTTGAAAATGATCAAGAATATTGATTGAACGAGACATTTTCTGAAAAAAAAAGCTTTCAAAGCAATTATTTATAATGAAAGTTCAATTCTAATTGTTTTTTGAGAGTTTAAAATAATTAATAATTTAGTACTCAATAACATTTAATTAAAAGGAACTAAAATTCATCGCATCTGTATTTTATAACTATGCCATTTGATTGCATTTAAGAGCTTTATTTCATAGAAAATACAGACAAAAAACTTAGTAACCACATATAACAAGAAGTTCAATGGAAGACGAACTAATAAAAACAATTGTTTCCAATCAAATAATTAAGCAAATATATTTTTTTCAAGAAATGTAAATGTGTCGAAGTTAGATCATCATTTTGTTTATCAATAATGAATTTAACGTTCACAAAGTATCTATGAACAGAATATATTCGCAATGCAATACCAAAGTTTACCATTTACCAAGATCATTTCATAAATAATTATCATTTGTTAATTTGGAAAATTCATTATAGAGAAGAAAAACGCGAAGGATTCAACAGAGTTTTAATTATTAAAATGTAGATATTAAAAAAAAAAACTTTTTTTTTACTATTAAAAATGTGTACTTCTAGTTCAAGTATTACTTATGAGAGGCTATTGATTTTCTAGAAAAATATTGGTAAAAATTATAGTAATCGTAAGAAGTCTCATTACCGAGTAAAAAGTACATAAACTTCAATCCTTTTGCTTGATAAACCTGATCGCAAGCAGAACAACCTGAGGTCGATAGATCTTAATGTAAAAGATTTTCGATGAAAACACTGACATTTTCTCTAGGATCCTAATTTTTCACTATTTGAATGTGTTAACATTCATTCTCTCATCAACAAATATAAGTTCGCATGTCTATATTGTGTCACCTATAGAGTACTCAATCTACTGTAATCTCAAGGTGAGGGGAAACCTTCCATTGTCTAGGACTGTCTCAGCATGGACGCTTTCTTCATCGATGGCGGCGATCGTAAAATTTTCCAAGAAAATTTGATTAGAATAGACTATTCATTGCAGATAGTTCCAAGGTGAATAGTTAAAATTAGCTGGAGATATCGATCACTTTTCGACAATTAGCATCAACTTTCCTATGAAGATTATCCAAATAATATTTCATAGATCAGGCAAATTAAAATTGTTTGACATGAAATTTTTATTGTCGATAGAGGCAGTGCTAAACTGTCGAATGAAAGATCTAACGTGATGAGATTTGTTTTCGATGGTGGGATATTCTTGTCTGAAGAAAAAAAATCTATGTTGACCTTCTAGCTCGTCTGTTTGAAGACCGATCAGAGTTCAACATACTCTATTTGTAGTCAAACTATAAGACTAAAGGATTAAACTTCAAGTACTTTTTACCTGATAGCGAGACTTTTTGCGACTAATGTATCATTACTTCAAAATGAAAGGAAAATGAAAAATTTTTAAAAGTTCAGTCAAAAAACAATTCTTAAACTTGTGTGATTGAGACTTAGTTTTACTATATTTCCTATGCATTGACTACCAATCATACGGAAACGAAACAGTGATTGAATTGTAATGAAGTACAAGCTAGAATTCGACTGATTCATAATTTCTAGGTGAATTCAGTAATATTTTTTTAGTTAATATGTGTGACTTACTTCCTATGACTTGATTACACAGTAGAAAACATATGGATTGCTTTTTCCTGTTAGATGTTTTATAGAAAAGGAATGAAATTTTACATTTCGTACTATCTGTATTGATGCATGAGTTAAATTTTATTTCATCCATTCTCTTTTAAAGTCTCGTTAACAGATGTCAACACATATTTTTCTATATACACTTTTAGCTGAAATTTTCAAATCTTTCTCATAACCTCCTTTATGAATTTATATGCATCTTGATAATTAGAATCTTAATTTGTAGAATCGAAAATTTTAATTGAATATCTTTCAATATCTTTTTCTAAAATATTAATATCACTACTACAATAAATTGTACATTACCTATAAAAAAAAAAGAGATGTTTCTCTTATTTCGTTCAAAAGTGAATCATTAAAATTTTGAATAGCGATACAATATAATAGTCTTTATGACTGAAACCATTCACATAGATTTATTTTGAAAGAAATGCTCACAAAGGAACATGTACAACTTTTTGTATACATATGTATTAATGTATATATTTGATAGACGAAAAGATTTAAAAACTAATATTATAGATTTTTGAAAACAAGTTAGTTAACAATAGAACAGTTAATATAAAAATATAATCAATTAGTAATACATAAAAAAGAGAAAAATAGGGAAATATATTTTAAATTACATGATATCACAAATAGCTGATGTTGGATTCAATCGATCGTCAGTTTTATATGGTATGTAGATTTTTATTTCTTCGAGAAAAGTAAGATAATCCTTCAAACTGAGTGTTATCGTCAGTTGAGATCTAGCAACGTCTTCCTTTAGTGAAGAAAACATAGCTTGTTGGCTTGCTTGGCACATATCATAAACTTTATGCAATAACCGACCGTTCATTCCTTCGAAAGCTGGTAGAAAAATACTAAGTTCTTTATCAAGAAGAAAAGATTTGACATGATCTTTAGTCCACATATCGATACAATGTGGATATTCCCTGCAATAAAAAAAAAACAATTGATTATAGTTTCATATGATCTAATGTTGAAGTTTTCCTATAATAAGTAGAAGTGTAAGTCAATGCATAGATAGGCAACAATGGATAAAAACATACTGGTAAAACATTTTACAAAGACATTTTAAAAAATTATTCTGGTAGTGGGGACTCAGCCGATTGCATTGTACGTTTAATAAGTGCCAGTACAAAAATTTCTGAGATTTATTGAATAGAAATTTCTGTGTCAATAAATGTGAATCTGAAGAATCGTTTTGTTAGATTTCAGTTGACACAAATGTTACAATGGTAATGCTTTTTTTTTTCAATTTCTAAGCATTGCTATGTCCTTAAAGTGTTTGTCGATGAAAAGTACAAGATAAAGTAAATTTACTAATTAAATTTCAAAAATCACTAAACATCATTATCTATACAAGTTATCAAGAAGAGTACCTCATGTCTAGAATAACAACTTTCACCCTAAAAAAAAAAAGACTTACACAACTGGACGTGGTTCTTTATTATTTTCAACACTTGAATTTGTTTTTGGTGTACTATCCATTAACGAACTTGAATTGTGATGGACTTGATTTTGTTCGGCAAGTATTAAGTTTGAATTATTCATTCGAAATAGTCCTATCTGTTTCTTAAGTTCTTGATAAGCTTTATCGAAACCAAGTTTCGGAAAATCAATATAGATCAATGCTGATGTTAACACTCCAAGCCATCCATCAGCTTTGTAGCTAGTTGTCATAACTAATGGAATAATATGACATCGACGTTTAACTGCATAACTTGCTTCCATTTCACAGAAAGGACTCTGCTTGTAAGCATCAGACATACAAACAAGTACAAATTCTGCATTTTCAATAGCTTTAGCCATAGCATCAAATGTAGCACCATGCATCAATCGAGAATCAATCCAAACACATAATTGATCTTTCTCGAGAGAACTTAAAATACGATGACAAAGTTCTTTATCATTATGGGAATAGCTTATCATGATATCATATTGTTTTTTATCAATCATTAATGAAGAAATTGAAGAAGGTTGTTGTTGTTGTTGAACTGTTTTGATTATTGTTTCTGGTTCTTTTTCTAATTTCCATATTAATGCAGTAGCTATTAGTTGTAGATCTTGTTGTGATGATGAAGTCAATGTTCGAATATGATTCATGAAAGTATCATTGTTTTTGAGAATAGTCGCAAATTCTTTGTTAAAGACTAATGCAAGAAGAATTTCAAGTGCAGGAAGTTTTGCTTTGAGTGGATTGAATTGATCTTCAAGAGCACATCGAAGAAAAAGAGAATGACCTTCTTGTTTGATTAATTCTTCTCGAATTTGATCATGTTGTGTTAATACTAAAGAGAAAAAAAATAAATGATGAACTTCTGAATGAGTGTATTTATAAAATATATTTTCTTAACTATTATTATTCCTTGGAAGAAGAAGACAACTAAAACTAACCTTTAAGACTTCGAAGACTATTGTGTAGGCGACCTTCTGTATGAATACCTCCATCAATAACATTTTTAATAAAAGTAATAAAAACCGTAGCAATTCTACTCGAATTTTGAAGTTGTTTTATATCTGCTTCTGCCATAATAACAGCCAGAATTCGATAGGCATGTAAATGAATTTCATCATCATTATTTGATTTTCGTATAAGTACATTGATAATATCGACTAATTGAAGACTTTTAAGATAAATAACAAGTTCACTATCCAGAGTAAAATAGAAGAGAATTTGAAGAAGTTGTTGAACAAGTGGTATACCAGCTGGATCTATTGTTACTTGATTTGATTCATTGACAGACAGTAGAATACGTTTGATAGTATCAGAGATATGTCGACATGCATCACGTGTGCCGTCACTAGTTATTACATCGCCAAGATCCATTCGAAATAATAAGTTAGTTAGATGTAGTAAGATATTTATCATAGCTGAATTCCATTTGATATATGGTGGCCGACCAGTATAATTCTCACTAAGCCAACTATTGAACCATTTAAGATGAGTACGTCGAATTCGTTCAATTATCTCTTGACGTCGATTACCTTCATACCAGGCAATTTGATTTGGATAATGTTCAAGTACGGTAAGTTCTTCATATGAACGAGAATTGGACTGTTCTTTAGCAAATTTTTCGAACATTTGTGTATATAAAGGAGAACAAACTTGATCAACAGATCTAGCCAACGTATCTGTAAACTCTGTGTCGACATGTGCCATTGTTAATAATGTTTATTAATTAAAAACAAAAGTGTTTTAACGTGATGAAAAAAAATATGGAGTAATGTGTTTTAAAAGGACATATATGAAGTTAGATTTCTTTTCTTTTTCTTGACGACAAAGTCAATATTAGCAACATACAGAAAAAAAAAGAAAATATTTCAACCATAATGAAACTTTTAATGTGTCTTTTATGTTGATTCTTTTATAGAAGTTGTGAAATGACGGCAAGAAAAAAACAACTTCCCTATCAACCTTCGTACAGCGATGAATATAGAACGTATAGAAAATAAGTAACTTTTTCTCTACAAAACAGAACAACACATTTACTATAAACAGGAGTAGATAGTTGATTCGAGTTCGAATATAACTGAAGATAAAAAAAAACAAAGCATAAGTTAATCATCACGCTTACCCAAAAATAACATTTAACAGCTGAAGTTTAATAATCAAAGCTATGATTCTCGTCCTCAAAATACTGGATATAAAGTTCGACTTTACTGTTCAGATAGACGAGCATTGGTGGTAGCTTCATGGATGGCGATCACTGTTCTTACACCATTAGTCTCGATTGTAGATGTTTCAATTATGTTCTTATGGTAAAATATATCTAATACACTTCATTGAAGTTCATCAAATATCCAAAATACTATTTAGAATCATGACAAGATTCGATGAATGTCATCAATATGCTTTTTCTCAATTCTCAGATTGTCCATTTGAGATATTTCGATACAAAGACTTCAATCTCACTCTTCTGGTACCTCACACAATGCGATATCCTCGTGTCTCCTTTTTGTAGTATCCGCGTCATTAAATTTCGTTTTTTTTGCAGCTGCTTTAATGATTTTCAAGTCACATTCAGTTTATATTATAATTCATGCCAAGTTTATCTTTCAGAAGTGATATTTTGACTCTTAAATCTTCATTTATATTCGAACTCATATATAGACAATTCATGATAACCATAGTTGATTACAATGTTGGTTTATTTTGCTTCTAACAATAGGACAATTCGAAGTATATATATATCAGATTTTATCTAATGACGTGAATGAATATATCAACCAAATAAGTCTATTTCTAAAATAAAAACGAAGCATTACTTTCTATCTGTAATCTGATTGATAATTTATGTTTTTGACTCATAAAGTGAGCTATTGTGATCATTCAATAAAACATTGACTTAAGAGGTTGGAATTACTATTTAGAATAATGCATTAATTTCCCTTTCATTAAAGTAACATTATTGTCTTAACTTAAGAGAAGCAAAATTATTATATATTATCAATGTGAGCTAATTTAAATTTCACCGTTCGAATTTTCCAGTGGTGATAGCATATTAAATTCATCTATTCGATCATATTCATGTATATTAGAGTAAATTCTCTCTATAACAATGAAAAAAATATCTAACGACAAAACCTTTCTTGGTGTCAAATCGCTTTTCTACCGAGACGATGTTCATTTAATGAGTGCAAGAATGGTTTAGTTTTCTGGATCTTCGTTCTTGAGATACCGAAATTTTACTGTGTTTTTCAACAAAACAATTGTCGTTTTCGTCAAGTCATGTGAAAAATCAACTTTCGAGTTTCAACTTCCAACGTTGTACGAATAAAGTTCCTAATGAGATTAATTTATTGTGTAAGTTTTTCTTTTACACATGATGGAGAATATTGAATATCTCAGAATAGAACATACTAGAAAAGTTACAATTTGCTCATTAAACAAATGTCATTAAGAATCTTGTTCGTGTCAAGTTTGAAGTCAAAACTCGAAAGTTAATTGTCTACATGGTCTGAGGGAGACCACAGCTTTTTGTTGAACAACCTAGTAGAATTGTGATATCTGAAGAACGAAGGCCCGAGAAATCAAACCATTCGAGACTTTTCTATTATTCACTAGTAGTCATTAAATGAATATCATCTCGATCGATAAGTGATTTGACACTTCAAGAAACTCTCTCGTTTATTCATGAATATTTTCAGATAATTGTAAATACATGTTTTCACATGAAAATGAAAAACTTATCTGCATAATTGTAAACTTATTATTCAAAATGACATCATATTGGACTTGTGTTTTAGTGTTAGTTTTCTTTTATTACATTTTTGAAAGATCAAATAAAATGATTGATGGTGAAGAAATGTATCTCCAAATAGATTGAATAAAACAATTTTCCTGTGATGAGCGATAGCAGCTACATCATGTTTCATATTTTAATTCCATCGAAATTGCTCTAACAACTTTTTTTTGCCATAAAAACAATTATTTTTTCGATTCATATGGAATTTTCATCTACCATATTCTTTGTAACTAGCTTAACAAACTACTAACAGTCATTCAACATGGTCTTTCATTATTTTCTTTCTTCAACGATTATGAAATATACAAAATTTTATCACTCATAAAAACTTACGTAGTAGTTTTGTTATTCAAAACGTTTAAATATCGTATATGTTCCATTGAAAAGCTAAAAACAATTTATAATTACATCAATTTGTTCTATTTCATCTGTTTTCCTAATATCAAGCGGTCACGCAAATTAGATATAGGTAGTGCGGTTCTAATTTTACATATACATAAATGAACATGAGTTGAGTAACAATAAATGAATGAATAAAATTAAAATCTGTCACTGATGTATGCAAAGATGAATGATTTTTTACAAGAAATTTCATAAGTCAGATAAGATTACAAACAGTTGATATTGGATTCAATGAATTGTTAGCTGTGAATGGTATATAGATTTTAATTTCTTCGAGAAAAGTAAGATAGTCTTTTAAACTGAGTATTGCATGTTGAGATCTATTAACGTCTTCTTTCAATGATAAAAACATTCCTTGTTGATTGGTTTGACACATGGAATAAGCTTGATGTAGTAATTTTCCGTTCATTCCTTCTAGGATAGGTAGAAAAGCATCAAGTTCTTTGTCAAGAAGAAACGATTTAACATGATCTTCAGTCCACATATCAATACAATGTGGGTATTTCCTACAAAAAAAAACAAAAAAAAAAGTTATTTACGTTGGCATTATTCGATCTATAGTTTTCTTATAAATTATACTTTAGATTTTTGATGAAAATTGGAAGATAAAGTAAATTTACTAATTTAATTTCAAAAATCACTAAACATCATTATCTATACAAGTTATCAAGAAGAGTACCTCATGTCTAGAATAACAACTTTCACTCTCAAAAAAATAAAAAGACTTACAAAACTGAACATGGTTCTTCGTTATTTTCTTCACTTGGAACTATTTCCGATGTATTATCCACCAACGAACTTGAATTATGATGGACTTCATCTTGTTCAGCAAATGTTGAACTTGAATTATCAATTCGAAATAGTTCAATCTGTTTCTTAAGTTCTTGATAAGCTTTATCGAAACCAAGTTTCGGAAAATCAATATAGATCAATGCTGATGTTAACACTCCAAGCCATCCATCAGCTTTGTATTTAGGTGTCATGACTAATGAAATAATATGGCATTGACATTTAACTGCATAACTTGCTTCCATTTCACATAAAGGATTCTGTTTGTAAGCATCAGACATACAAACAAGTACAAATTCTGCATTTTCAATAGCTTTAGCCATAACATCAAATGTAGCACCATGCATCAATCGAGAATCAATCCAAACACATAATTGATCTTTCTCGAGAGAACTTAAAATACGATGACACAGTGTTTTATCACTATGTGAGTAACTTATCATGATATCATATTGTTTTTTATCAATCATTAATGAAGAAATCGAAGAAGGTTGTTGTTGTTGTTGAACTGTTTTTATTATTGTTTCTGGTTCTTTTTCTAATTTCCATATTAATGCAGTAGCTATTAGTTGTAGATCTTGTTGTGATGATGAAGTCAATGTTCGAATATGATTCATGAAAGTATCATTGTTTTTGAGAATAGTCGCAAATTCTTTGTGAAAGACTAATGCAAGAAGAATTTCTAGTGCAGGAAGTTTTGCTTTGAGTGGATTGAATTGATCTTCAAGGGCACATCGAAGAAAAAGAGAATGACCTCCTTGTTTGATTAATTCTTCTCGAATTTGATCATGTTGTGTTAATACTAAAGAGAGAAAAAAAATAAATGATTAGTTTCTGAATGAGTGTATTTATAAAATATATTTTCTTAACTATTATTATTTCTTAGAAGAAGAAGACAACTAAAACTAACCTTTAAGACTTCGAAGACTATTGTGTAAACGAGCTACATAAGGAACACCACCATCAATAGCTTTCTTAATAAAAGTGATAAAAACAATAGTAATTCTATTTGAAATTTGTAGTTGTTTTATATCTGCTTCTGTCATAATAACAGCCAGAATTCGATAGGCTTGTAAATGAACTTCATCATCATTATTTGATTTTCGTATAAGTACATTCATAAGATCGACTAACTGAAGACTTTTAAGATAAATTACAAGTTTACTATCCAAAGTAAAATAGAAAAGAATCAAAAGAAATTCTCGAACAAGAGGTACAATAGCTGGATCAATGGTTGTTGGATTCGATTTACTAATGTTCAATAAAATACGTTTGATAGTATTAGTGATTTGTTGAAACGCATGACGTGTATCATTGCTAGTAATAACATCATCGAGATCCATTCGAAATAATAAGTTAGTTGCATGCAACATAATATCATTCATAACTGAACTCCATTTAATATATGGTGGTAAACCAGTATATTGCTTACTTAACCAACTATTGAACCATTTAAGATGAGTACGTCGAATTCGTTCAATTATCTCTTCGCGTTTATTTCCTTTATACCATGTGATCTCATTTGGATAATACATGAGTATAGTACGTTGTTCATTTGAAAGATAATGAGGCTCTTCTCTGGCTACTTTTTGAAACATTTGTGTATATAAAGAAGAACAAACTTGATCAACAGCTCGAGCGATTTCAACTGTAAACGATGTAGAATTTACAGTCATGGTTAACGCACAGCTTATGTCTTAAGAATTGTTAAAATGTAATGTTG